ACAAAAACTGAAATCTGCTCTCATATTGGTGTGGTCTACTTAGTGTACTTCACATACATCAAATTTAGCTAACTTAAAAAAAAAAGTCTAGTAGATGCTAGCAATGAGCTCAGTAGTGGGAATGCATAGACAAGATACACAGTTTCAAATCTCAGGAATTCCTTGATTTAGCGGGACATTGTTTAAAGAGCTTTGGGATCGCACTGTGTAGACTGCATGAAGGTCTATATTGTAATCAGTTATAATGAACTAATTCTTCTACTCTTGCTCATACCTAGTGTTGAAATCTTTTGATATTCCCCTCCCCCTGCTGTGACAAAAACACATTTAGAATTTGATGTATTCTTAGTGGTTACTACGATTTCAACATGAGAATGAGCAAATCTAAGGAGGAGGATTAATTCATTACAGTAAAGATCTCAACATAAAGTAGATTCTTAATAAATTCTTAATTATGAAAGTATGAAAGACTTAAAGTATGACTAATAAGATAAATGTTGAAAAACAGCTAGAAATAAACACTCAGAAACAGACATTTGTAGTATATAAGCACTTTTATATTGAATTCAAGATAATGATCTGAAGTTATTTTTACAGGATTAAAAATTGCAAATGTCGTTGTTGTTGAATCGGCTCTGACTCATGACTACCTTATGTATAACAGAATGAAACATTGCCTGGTCCTGTGCCATCTCTGTGAGTGTTGGTATGTTTGAGCCCATTGTTGCAACCACCATGTCAGTCTATCTCATGGAGGGTTTCATTGTTTTTGATGACCCTCTACTTTACCAAACATGATGTCCTTTTCTAGCAATTGGTCTTTCCTGATGGCATGTCCAGAGTAAGCAAGATGAAGTCTCACCATCCTCACTTCTAAGGAACATTCTGGTTGTATTTCTTCTAAGATGAAATTAACAACAACAAAAAACACCAAACCCATTGCTGTTGAGTCGATTCCAACTCATAGTGACCCTATAGGACAGAGTACAGCTACCCCATAGGGTTTCCAAGGAGTGACTGGTGGATTCGAACTGCCGACCTTTAGGTTAGCAGCCAAAGGTATAACCACTGCACCACCAGGGCTCCAGATGGAAATTATAAATAAATTACATTTTAATTATTTATATGTAGTTATAAATAAATGCATATAATTCTTATAAGGATCAACACCCACCTGTTACCTATTGATATTAGGTTAGGTTAACTTTTCATGTAATTGGTAGGTGTTTCTTTGTTAACTGGCCAAATGGTGAAAAGGCCTAGCTAAACTATGTGGAAATGAGTCTTTTTGTTTTTGTTTTTGGTACCATCTTTATGGAGATATAATTCACATACCAGACAATTTACCCATTTAAAGTGTACGACTAAATGGCTTTTAGTATATTCACAGAGTTGTACAAACATCACCACAATCAATTTTAGAATATTTTTATCACCCCAAAAAGAAACCTTACAGCCCATAGCCATCACCCACCAATCCTCCTACTCTCCCCATCCCCTACCCTCCCAGCACTAGGCAACCATTAATCTACTTTTTATCTCTATAGATTTGCCTGTTCTGGACATTTTATATAAATGGAATTATACAATATATCCTTGGGTCCTTTGTAACTGGCTTCTTTTCACTTAGCTTAATGATTTCAAGGTTCATCCATGTTGTAGCATGTATCATTACTTCATTTCTTTTTTTGCCAAATAATATTCCAGTGTATAAGTATACCAAATTTTATTTGTCCATTCATTAGTTGATGGACTCTGGAATTGTTTCTACTTTTTGACTGTTTTGAATAACACTGCTACAAATATTCATGTACAAATTTTTGTGTGAATATATGTTTTCATTTATCTTGGGTGTATACTTAGAAGTGGAATTGCTGCGTCTTTATGGCGACTCTGTATAACATTTTGAGGAACTGCCAAACTGTTTTCCAAAGCTGCTGTACCATTTTACTTTCCCTTCAGCAGTGTATGAGGATTCTAATTTCTTCACATCTTTCCCAGTTTTTACTATTTTTCTTGTTGATTTTAGGCATCTCAGTGAGAGTGAAGTGGTATTTCTTGTTGATTCTAGGCATCTTAGTGGGTATGATGTGGTATCTCATTGTGGTTTTGATTTGCATTACTCTGATGACTAATAGTGTCGAGCATCTTTTCATGTGCTTATCGTCCATTTATATATCTTCTTTTGAGAAATGTCTATTTATATCCATTGCCTATTTTTAAAATTGGGTTATTTGTCTTTTTATTGTTGACTTTAGGGGTTCTTCAAAGTTTCTATAAAATAAGTTAATTATATTTATGCTAATTATGCAAGGTATACACAAACTTTTACCTAGATCAGAAGTTCTTTAACCTTTCAGATCACATGCAACATTTTATGTTTATTTGTGTATCTGCCTTTTACACAGCAGAGATTCCAGCGTTCTCATTAGATCCCTTAATTGTATCCCTAGAGACTTAGGCCAGTCATGTATGTTTGATTTATTTTTCAAGATAATTATGAGTTTAGGTTTTTAAAATTTAATATTTAAGTTGATAAGTTGACAATGTAATTCACAGAAAAGAGATAAAAATAAGCTTAAAGTGATCAAATAGAATGTGAAAATTATCAAACAATATCGTTAATACACCAGCAAAATTTTGCTGAAGATAATTCAAAAATGGCTGCGGCTGTACATCGACAGCGAACTGCCAGAAATTCAAGCCAGATTCAGAAGAGGACATGGAACAAGGAATATTGTTGCTGATGTCAGATGGATCTTGGCTGAAAGCAGAAAATACCAGAAAGACGTTTATCTGTGTTTTAGTGACTACATGATGGCATTCAACTGTGTGGTTCATAACAAACTATGGATAACATTACAGAAAATGGGAATTCCAGAACACTTAATTGTGCTTATGTAGTACCTGTACATAGATTAAGAGGCAGTCATTTTAATAGAGCAAGGGGATTCTGTGTGGTTTAAAATTGGAAAAGGTGTATGGCAGGGTTGTATCCTTTCACCATACTTATTCAATCTGTATGCTGAACAAATAATCCAAGAAGCTGGACTATATGAAAAAGAACGCACAATGAGGCTTGGAGGAAGACTTATTAATAACCTTTGATAGGCAGATGACACAACCTTGCTTGCCGAAAATGAAGACAACTTGAAACACTGATGAAAATCAGAGACTACAGCCTTCAGTATGGATTATACCTGAACATAATGAAAATGAAAACCCTCCCAATTGGGCCAGTAAGCAACATCATGATAAATGGTGAAGAAGCTGGTGTTATCAAGGATTTCATTCTACTTTGATCAACAATCAACACCTACAGAAGCCAAACCAAAACCAAACCCATTGCTGTCGACTCGATTCCAACTCATAGCAACCCTATAGGATGGAGTAGAACTGCCCCATAGAGTTTCCAGGAATTGCCTGGTGGATTTGAACTGCTGACCTTTTGGTTAGCAGCCATAGCTCTTAACCACTATGCCACCAGGGTTTCCCCCGCAGAGGCAGCAGTCAAAAAATGAAATGACATATTACATTGGGCAAATCTGCAGCAAAAGATTTCTTTAAAATCTTAAGAAACAAAGATATCACTTTGATAACTAAGCACCTGAGCCAAGCAATGGTCTTTTCTGTTACTTCATATGCATGTAAAAGCTAAACAATGAAAAATGAAGACCAAAGAAGAATTGACAGGTCTGAATCATGGTGTTGGTGAAGAATATTGAATATACCATGAACTGCCAAAAGAATGAACAAATCAGTCTTGGAGGAAGGACAGCCAGAATGCTCCTTAGAAGGGAGGATGGCGAGACTTCATCTCACTTACTTTGGGCATGTCATCATGAAGGACCAGTTGCTGGGGAGAGACATCATGCTTAATAGAGGATCAACAAAAAGAGAGGGGCCCTGAATGAGATAGATTGACACAGTGGCTGCAGCAATGGGCTCAAACATACCAGTGATTGTGAGGATGGTGCAGGACTGGGCAACATTTAGTTGTTACACATTAGGTCACTATGAGTCAGAGCCAACTTGACAGCAACTAACAACAACATATATGTTTAGATTTTATTGTCTTGAAATACAGTGTTTATTTGCTATTTCTAAAAGCGTCAGTAATTTTTTAAACATTTTATCAATTTTTTTTTTATTTGGAGAGTTTTTTTAAATTGGCAATCTGTACTTTCCTAATTTATACTTTATTAGGTATGTATTATGTCAACTCTGCATCTCATTGTTAATATAGTTACTAAAGAAAATATTTTCCGTGTAAAATAACCTCTCAGGGTTACTGTTGTCTTCATTTTATTTATTTATACAGTCATTCAAAAAATATTTATTGAGTGTTACTACATGCTAAATATTGGATATATAAAGAAGAAGAAGATAATAACTTTCGTCTTCAAGAAGTAAAAAAATGTACCTAGAGAGGTGTAAACAAATTACTATATTTGAAAGAAGAGTTAACAAAGAATAGAAATGGTGGTTGGTCCAAACAGAGGAAATAACATGAGCAAAGTCAGAGTCATGGAGGTGCAAGGCCCATGGTAGGCGATGGAGTGGCTAGTATTTGAATATGGCTGGAGCAAAGTTATATAGAGAACTGAGAAAGGTTGCAAGAAACAAGTCTTAAACATGGTTAGAGCAGATTTTGAGGATCTTTAAATGCTATGCTAAAAAGTATTCTGCATAAAAATAGAGTTCTTAAGTATTTTTAGTCTCAAAATGAAAGACAGGATCTGAGAACATTAGGTGATAATATCTGATTTTTTTACATTGTAATTAATTCAGTCAGAATGCATTTATAGTCATGTTTAAAAAATTATCGTTAGGTGGTTTTTCTGAGATTATTGATCAATGCTGATTATTTGAAAAACTTAAATATATGTATTTAAATATATTTCATATTTGGCGTATTTAAATATTTGGCATATGTAAAAACACTATTTTAAAGTATTTTAACTACCTTAGCTTTATATTTTTTAATTTCTTTTTTCCAGATATAAGGAAGACCAGATGTCTGGGGAGTTAATGGAACCTCTGAAATATGCTGAACAACTTCCTGTAGCTCAGATAATACACCAGGTTTGCTTCCTACTTTATTCTTTTGAAAGCAACAAGATTTTTAATCTCTAAAAAGTAATTGCTTTTGTTAGGTTTTTCAGAATCAATGTGCTATAGCTTCAAGGCATTCCGAGCCGTCTGTCCCTGTTCAGACTACACCTATTACAGTTGGAAGTCTCATTCACAGCACAGTATTAAAAGGCTACTTGCTGTGTAACACTAGAATTCCTGCTTATTATAAAATACAGGGTAAAATTAGGACTCTCTTGTGTATTAATAACAAAACTTAATTTCAGAAAACTTTCATTTTGAGCCACTATATGTAGTACTTACTAGTGACAAGGAAAAAAAGCTGAAAAAATTATGATTTAGTGTAATTTTTTTGAGTAGCTGAAAAGAGAATCTTAACCCTATTTCTTCCACCTCACCCCATTATCAACCCCTGTAAAGTATAATTCTAAATGTTATAAGAGCAATTTTTCCATTTTTAATTATAGTGTCTCTATCATCCGTTCTACATGACTGTAATCTCAGAGAAGGCAGTGTTGTGAACATTTAGGCTTAGATTTTGTACTGTAATTTTGACAGCATATAACCTCTGTCCTGCTAGGCCAGATTCTAATAATTTTAAATGATCTGTTAACTGGAGGTATGGCCTTTAGGCCTAGCAGGCTTTTCAGAACCTTACAGATTATAGAAAATAATAAAAACTCTTAAATGTTAGAATTTAATTGAGTCTTTTCATATGTTTTTTGTCAATCAAAAGAATTTTTTTTAGCTGATATGAGTTGATTAGAAGAAGTGCCACTTTGAGCTTATTAAAGGAAACAGAGGCTTTTACTTTAAAATGTTGGTGATATAAATCCTTTTATTGACCTTAAAATTTAGTATTAAAATTCTTTGAGAAATTACAAAAAATGATCAGAAATTTACCTCTTTGGGAAGCTCATCTGTGCTTGGTAATCAGGTCCAGTTTATATGTCAGGAATTCCCTAGTGTTGTCAGAGCTTAAATGACCTAACAGCCTGCAAATGTCACATTTAAAATTCTGTCTTCATGCCTGACTCGCAGTATAAATGAACTAAACAGCAAAGCAGGCAGCAAGTCAATATGTTCTTAACAGTAAGAGTGAGCAATGAAACAGTCTGGGGTTTGTTCAGAATAGGTAAATAGAATCTATCCAGAACAGTTCACCTAGTATAAAGTCTGAAACAGGAAACAGAATTAACCTTTAAGATGGTTGACCAGATGAAATGTCAGTAATATTTTTATAGCGTGAATGAACCAATGAACTAGTTGGTTTATGTAGCAGCCATGTGAATTCAAAGATGAAAATTTTTAACCCTGGTGAAAATTTTAGATTGTAATTTTTTTTAGTAGTATAAGAGACTGTATTAATTTTAAAATTGAATTATACACATTTTAATTAAAATCCTGTGGTATCTGATTTTATAAAATTTCCATTTGTAAGATCAAATTATAGTAGGGAGGGGTTTATTTATTCTTTATTTTTGTTGAGTAAAATTAATTCTGTTCTCAATTAAGGAGCAGTCAGGAAAGTTCACTGTTAATACCAGGCTCTTCATCTATTATTTTTGTTATTTCAGTTTACTGACAGTTATTTTACCATTGGGACTATTACCATTGGTCTATCCAAGTGGTCTTTAAGAAACATCTGACTTATGTCGCAAAGAAGTGCATTTATAAGTAGATCGTTTGAAAACAATTTTTTCCCTAAGAAATAGTGATACATGTGATAATTTAGTTCAGCCAATCCCACAAAAGCCTTTTAATCCATAATATATCTAAGTTATGGTATTATCACAGTTTATAACTAACCACCACCTGTAACTATTTTTATGGGAAATAGTTATCCTTCCTGTAATACCGCATTGTGCTTTTACGTTTGTATATTTTGGTTTATCATTTTTACCGTGAACTAAGTAATGTATTTACATGTTTTATATGCCCTATTTGATTATCTTTCTAGATATGCTTGATTTCTTAATGATCCCTTCAGCATCTTGCTTTGTGCCATGTATATGTGGATGAGTGGATGGATATACATCATAAACACCTCTCCCTTCCCTCCTTCCCCAAGGCATCAGAAGCCAGGGATTCTCACTGGTAGCACAGTTTAGAAGCAGCAGAAGAAATGGAGGCTTTTGGGAAGGAAGCAGGGATGGAGGCTGTAATTAATATAGAGAGGAATGAGTCTCGGTCATTTAAGTAAGGCATTTCTTGTATATGTTACTTAAACTGCTTTTTAAAATCAGAAACTAGACAGGATTCCCATTATTGCCATTTTATCTTGACAAATTATTTACCATTTTCCTTGAGGTCCTAGCAAATATGATTGTACATCTGGAAAATTGAAGAGACTTAAGTTATAAACAATAGAATTAATAACAGAATCTGATGAGATAGCCAGATATATATATTTGCCATCCATTCCCACTGCTGTTGAGTCGATGTCGACTCATGGGGATCCCATGAGTTGCTGAGTAGAACTGCGCCATAGGGTTTCCTTGGATACAGTCTTTATGGAAGCGGTTCACCAGGCCTTTCATCTGTGGAGTTGCTGGGTGAGTTTGGATTGCAAACCGCTTGGGTCATCTGGGGACCTTATATTTGCAATAAGTACGTGGAAATGGAAATGGGATAAAAAATGTTTTTTCACAACAATGAAAAGAACTATAAAATACTTAGAATTAAATTTAAGAAGTGAACCACAGGACTTATATAATAAGGACATGGAAGCATACCACATTTCAGAAACAGGAAGATATACCAAATACTTAGATGGGTAAACTTAATGTTATAAAAGTATCGATTCTTCTGAATTAGTAATTCTAGTTATAATAGAAAAAAAAAATTTTAATGTTAGAAAAAAAATGATCATATATTTCACGTGGGAAAAAAATCCAAGAATTGCCAAAAAAGTACACAAAACAAGGGAGGCACTTACCTTACCAGATATCAGCACATAGTCTAAAACCACTATAATCTGATAAATATGGTATGGAACAAAGGAATAGATCAGTGGAAAACAACGAAGGAGTGACTTTCAAACTTTACAGATTATAATTCACAATAAGAAATATACTTTACGTATGTAATTACTCTGTGTGTGTGTGTGTGTGTGTGTGTGTGTGTGCAAAACTGGAATAAAAGCTCCATGGAATATTTAACCTTATTACATATGTTGTACTCTGTTATTTTCTTTCTCTATTCTGTTTTTTAAAATGCTAATTAAAGCCTATTAAATCGATTTTTACAAGCAACAAATTAGTCCTGACCGTGGCTTAAAAGCTGCTTGAATAGAGAAGCCAGAAAAAGATTTCACCATATCTGATAATTTAACACAGGATAAAAATGATACTTTATATCATTGGGAAAAGGATAGTTTATTTAATAAACGGTGTTGCCACAGATCACTATTCATCCTAAAGAAAATAAAATTAGATGCCTATTTTATACCATATACAAAAATAAATTTCATACAGATTAAAGATTTAAATGTGAAAAACAATTTTTAGAAGAAAATGTAGGCAACTACATGAATGATCTGGGAGTAGGGAAGAACTTCTTCAAGAGCACAAGAAACCCAGAAGATATGTTTAGCTTTATAGAAATTGAATATTTTATTTGATAAAATATGCTGTAAACAAAGTTACAAGATAAAGGTTAGATTCATTTCTAGAAAATAAACAAATGCATTTTCAAAGAAGACAACAGTATATTGGCTAATATCTATAGCATACAAAGAACTCTTGGAGGTTTACAAAAGAAAAACAAAACAGCTTAGTAATAATAATAATAAAGATAGAAAATATGAAAAGCAATTTACAAAAAATCCTCAATCACCAATGAATCAAAGAAAAGAGGCTCAAACTCAGTAAGGAAGTGCAAATTACAAATTTAATGAAATTATTCTATATCCATAAAACCTACAAAAAGTAATATCATACTTTGGAAGACCATTTGGCAGTTTGTCAAAATATTAAATCAGAGTTACCATATGACCCTGCAATTCCACTCCTTGGTATAATTAAAAAAAACAACCAAACCTGTTACCATAGAGTCATTTCTGACTCATGGCAACCCCATGTGTTACAGAGTAGAACTGCTCCATAGTATTTCCTTGGCTGTAATCTTTATAAAAGCAGATTGCTAGGCCTTTCTTTTGCAGAGCAGCTGGATAGGTTCGAACTGCCATCCATAGGTTATCAGCTGATCACAAACTGCTTCCGCCACCTAGGCTTCTACCCTAGGTATATACCCAAAATAAATGAAAGCATATGTACGCACAAAAATTTGTACTCAAATGTTCATAGGAGAATTGTCCAAAACAGCAAAAAGTGGAAACAACACAACGTCCGTCAACTGATGAATGGATAAACAAAATGTGGTATATCCATATAAGGAAATACCATTTGACAATAAAAAGCAATGAAGTGTTGATTCATGTTACAGTATGAATGAACCTTGAAAACATGCTAAGTGAAGAAGCCAATCCTCACAGAAGGCCACATGTTACATTATTGCATTTATATGAAATTCCACACACATATCATTCTCCCCAAAGTTTACACTCATGAACTAGCCTGAACTCCTATCACATACATATATATATTTTTGTTTGTTTTTGTTTTTTTTACAGTTGCCATTAAATTGATCCTGACTCATGGCGACCCCATGTGTATTAGAGTAGAACTGTGCTCCATAGGGTTTTCAATGGCTGATATTTTTGAAAGTCACTCATCAAGCCTTTCTTCTGAAGCACCTCTGGCTGGACTCGAACCTTCCATGTTTCGGTTAGCAGCCAAGCACCTGTTTGCATGACCGAGGGACACCAATATATAAATGTCGTTGTTATGTGCCATCGGTCGATTCAGACTCATAGCAACCCCATGTGATGGAGTAGAGCTGCCCCATAGACATTTTTTGGGAAGCAGATAGCTAGGTTTTTCTCCTATGGAGCTGTTGGGTAGGTTTGAACCACTAACCTTTTGGTTAGC